ATGTATTATCATTTGACTAAGAATAATTTGATTAGATTTCACGCCTTAATAAGAAAAAAAATGTAATATAATGAGTTAAAGAAAATGTAAATATACACCTGTTATCCATACACGTTCTTGTGTTCCATCACTTTGTTCAGTGACAAGTGAAAGAGCAGTAAGAGCAACATTAAAGAAAAAAATAACACTAATAAAAATATTTGATTTATATATCGAGATATGAAAAAAAAATGAAATCTTACGAAAGAACGATACCAGGTATCATAAAATGTGTAAAAGTATATTCAATTTCTGGTAGATGATTTTGAAATTGTTCTAACTAATATACTTATAATTATTTATGTTTGTTTTTTAAAGAAAACTAATATTATACTTTAAATAATGATTGATTTGATGAAGTCGATGTAAAAAATCCCAGATTAAAATCTATATCAATACTTTTAAAAGCTCGAATAAATTCTTCAGCAATTGTATAAACAATTTGTCGATCTATTAATTAATGTTAATAATATTATTCTATGAAAAAAAAATCATCTACTTGTTTGATCTAAATAGATTGTCACTTGAGAATCTGTATATTTATTTGCGTCAGAAAATGAACTAAATATAATATATATATGTAATTCTATTGATAAAAACAATATTATTCTTACCAAGAATTTATTTTTTCAAAAAACTCTCGAGTAAAATTTGCACCAATATCCATAATTCCGAATAAATATCCCGAATGAAATAAATCTCGAGCGTCGTTTATCGATTTATATTCAATCTTTACAGAAATAGAAAAAGAACGGAATATGGAAAAAGTTTTTTTTTTTAATTATTTTAGTTTACTAGATTAATAACATTTTTATCAATTTTATTAAATATTAATCCACTCGCAGAAGTCGATCGAATAGTTTCACGTGAAATAAATCCTATTGGAATATCAGTTAATTTTCGTCCAACACATAAACAAAATAAAGTTATTTGTAGAATTGGTAGAAGAAGTTGAATAATAAGCATTCTAAAATTCGAAACAATAAATAATAATTAATTAGAATATTATTTTATATTTATAGATACAATGGATTTCGTTGAAATTTAATAATATCTTTTATAAGAAGAGCATAAAGAGATCTACCGGTAGATGGACGTATGCAAGAACGAAGTGCAAGACAACATGAATTTTTCACTAATAGACAAACAAAATTCAATTAAAAATGAAATTTTTAATACTTACTACAACGTGGGCGCATGACTGATTGACAAGAATGACAAATCTTAGAAATAATAATCATTTATAGTTTCAAATAATTTTAATTTAAACTACTTTATTTGCAATTGTCAAAGATTTATGATGATGAAGTTTTTCTTGTCCATGACATTGCATGTCTAACATTTGACGGCGTTCACATAGTTCAAGAAAGACACCTTCGAGAGTCTAGAATAAACTTTCTTCGTATCAAATATAGTAGAAATTAAATAAACAACTTCTTGTTGATGTTTCAATAATAATTCATTAGGATGACCTGTTTCTAAAAGTTGACCATGTCGCATAAAAGATACCTAATATAGATATAATAGATTACATTACATTAGTATCTATAGTTACTAGGTTAGCCTGTCGAGCTTCTTCAATATAGTGTGTTGTTAGAAAAGCAGTTACATTATCTTTCATAGTGATCTCTGTAAGATGTTGCCAAATTCTACATTGAATATGAAATGTTTTATTTCAACGGTATTCTATCTTACTTTTTTCTTAAAATTGGATCAACACCAACAGTTGGTTCATCTAAATATTATAATGTTTTATTATTTATTGAATAGATTTGAAAGAAATCTATACGAAATAATACCTAAAATAAGTAAACGTGGTTCATGCAAAAGAGCAATCGCAAATGAAATGCGTCTCTGTTGTCCACCACTTAATTTAAAAATCGATTTTCGTTTATGTGGTAAATCAAGAAGATTAATTAAAAATTGACATCGTTGTTGAATCTTTTCGCTAGGCATATTTGCTAAACGGCCATAGAAAAAAAGTTCCTCATCAATCGTATTTGTTGAATGTAATGCCATTTCTTGAGGCATAAATCCAACAAGTTGACCAAATGCATGAGGATGTTTACCAAGAATTGATATTTTTCCTCGTGTTTCATCATAATTATTCATAGGATGTAAACGTCCAACTAACGTACGTATTAAAGTTGTTTTTCCGCAACCACTCGGACCAAGTAAAGCAAAACTATATCAATTTAAAATAGACATTCGAGAACTAAAAGGAACATAAAATATCTTACATTCCACCTTGCTCAATAGAAAGATTAATTGATTTTAGAACATCTTTATTACCTAAGCGAATGGTAATATTAATTAATTCAATGGCATAAGGATCTGCAAGCTGTTGATGATCGTTAATAGTATATTCCATGTTATATTTTAAATATTAGAATGATCAATTATGAAGAGGTAAAGAAACAGCAAGGACAATACATTATTATATAGATAAGTAACAATATAAAAGGTAAATATCTTAAAGGCACAGAGGACAAAAAGAAAAATTATTATCGTCATTCTTCCTTTGCTTTTTTTATGGTTTTTGAATGAAAACATTGAAGAAAAGTGATAGTTGTGTTGAAGTTTATGAAAATGTTATATTGAATTTATTTTTTTAATTTTTCGAATGCTCCTGCACATATCTATCACATCTGTGTTTTTTTTTATTACATTAATAAGTCCAATATACAATTAATAGAAATATATATTTTTTGACAAGAAAAAAATGTTCACTACAGATCTTCGTCACTAAAGTTTTCGCCTATAACATCATCACACTAAAAGAAATGTCATAAAGATTTTCATTTTGGTTTTGTCAAAATAAAATTAACTTACCATTGGATCAAGATCTCCCATTGCTCCTGTATCAAATCGACCACCATCGAAACTTGAATCGTCATTCATTTCACGTTCAAGTCGTTCAAAATGTGTTGTTCTTTTATATAGAAATAAATAGAAAGATTAATATTAAAAATTAAAACAGATAAAAATACATACGGATAATTGCGAACTTGTTGAAGCATTTCTTCATTACTACCTGATTTCATTAAATTTTCAATCAGTAATTGACGAATACGTGGATCATTATTCATTTGTACGTGCTCTTTCAATCTAGAATAATATTAATAGTATCATATCAATAAAAAAAACTCTGATTACACTATGGGATCATTCACCATTGATGCACTAGTAAAAATCATTGTTTAGAACATTCGGTATTAAGGTTCTTGAAAACGGCTCATCAGAAATATTTGAAATTTTCTGGGTGAGTAGATCTTGAAGAATAGAGCAAAAGTAGTTATAGACACAAAACTCCCGAATGCTGTTTTCTATGAGATACTGGAATCACAATGGTGAAAAATGGCCCTCATTTTTGCCCCCGTTTCTCCGAGATGTTGTGTTCGATTGAGTTACAAATTTGTTTGACAAGCACTAGATACTGCTTGAAGTGCACATCTCTTATCTTTTTGCTCTCGAATAAAAAAGCTGAAACGTTGAAGGTATCCTAAAAATTGCATATTTTTCCTTGTAAGAGCTACTAAAACTCAGCACAGCAATATCTTTTGAAATAAAAACACAGTACCCATCCCAGACAGTGTATAGTGGATGTGAAAAAAGTTTCGGCACCTTTTTCATGAAAAAGTTGGTTTAAGAAAAATGCGAAAGTATCTAAGGTGCTCGCCACGCAAAATTTAAGCAAAATTTTTTTTCCTGTTTATTTTATATCATTTGATAGAGCGAGAGCTACTAATCACGAAAATCTACTTTTTAGCCTCAGTAAACGCTTCCTTCCGATCAAAAAATATGAAAAACTCGAAGG